TCTCTCTCTCTCTCTCTCTCTCTCTCTCTCTCTCTCTCTCTCTCTCTCTCTCTTTCCCCTCCGGGGCCGCGACAACTAATTTAAATCAAAGGAATCGTAGGCGTGTCGTGTTCCAATTAAGCGAAGAATCTGTTATGCAAATCGAGCGCCATCGATTACGTCTTCGACGGAGCGCCACGGTGAATTTACGACAAATATCCGAGCGACGTCGACGAGTCTAGAAGGGGAGTGGGACGTAACGGGAAGCTCGTCGAGCCGATTAGCGTGAAAAAGAAATACCTTGAATGGGCGAACAGCGAAATAAAGTTTCCAGCCGCTTCGGCTGTTGTTATTATACTAGTCGCATGCCGAGATTCAAATGACATCGGTAATCCTTCCGCTCACGGCGGACTGTCTATCTGATGAAGGCGGGACGAAGGAGGACTTTGCCGAAATGAAAGCGACGATTAGTCCCGTTAACTTTCCAGACGGTGGACTGTTAAACTGATTTCTCCAATCGGGATTACTTCGTGGCGCATTATTTAATGCATCCTTCGCGCGAGTCGCGTGGCAAGCGCGATCCTCCGCCGTCCCGACGAGATCGGCGAGATATAATTGCTTTTAATTGCCCGTCGATCGATCAGCATTCACGTCGGCGACACGAGCGAGGGAGTGACGGGACAGTCGGTCGTCGACGTCGTCGTCGTCGTCGTCGTCGTCGTTATTGTCGTTGTCATCGTCAAAGAACAGCTACGTGCTTTATACACGTTCAATTTCCCAAACGCATCTACGGGACGACATCAATTTTATTTACACGCGACACACGAAGGGAAATATATTTGTGGCGAATGCGATTGCCGTATGCACGTGAAAACATAATAAATCAAACGGCGACGGCGACGTCCTACGCCACGCAGAGTCTGACAAAGAAATCTTTGCTAACGGCGCCTTATTATCATTCCCTGTCATGCGACATGAATATAATAGACGAGGAGGAGAGATGGAGAGAGAGCTCATTGAACGTTTCCCTGTATTTTCAGTGGGAATTCTATATCGTGCCTTTGAAATCACGCGATCTCGGCACAACGTACTACACACACACACACACACATATTGCCGCCCGGTCTCTCCATCGTTTTTATTAACGCAAATCTTCCGCCTCTTCATTTATCCCTCATATCCGACCGAGTTGAGTCGCTTTTGTTTCGCGCGATCATATTTTATGTCGGAGAAAAAGAAACATTATGCGACCTCTCTCGCGCGTACATGACGTGTCGGAAGTTTCCTCGCGCTTTGGCGTTTTCCCGCGACTTTCGACTCGCGACGCGGATTTTTAGTGAGCGCGCGCGTTTCACCCTGAGTTCTTCAGAATGGGAGTTGCGAAGTGATTATTTTTCATTGGCTGACTTATCGCATATGACGAGTCGGCGCAAGATTTGAATACGGACACCGCGTGTATTTTAGAAATATTGATTAAACTACAGTTCTCATGCATTTGGCAAAAACACAGCCTGTGATAACGCAAGCCACTTTAAATAACAATGAAACGACCATTGGAGTTTTCCGTTATTCAAAATAAATTGTTTAGATTTACCAGCATTGAGTAAATGTGCCATTTAATCACATGGTCGAAAAATTTAAGTTTCTCTAAAAAACTTATGGATATCCACGAAGAAATGAAACTTTTAACTCGTCAATGCAAAACTCATCACACAAAACAAATAATAGATTATATTGAATCTAGGAAACCGATATAACATAAATAGACAGCAGGAAAAATAATTATGAGATATCGACCACTATATAGTCTATGACAAATCGGTTTGCCCACTTTTTATCGAATGAAGTTGCACCATGTGTTTCATGTTGTTAGAACTGAAAGCCACTGCTGACATGTATGCACAGTGATCGATTAGAAGTATATACAAATTTCTTCTCAAAACCATGTTCTCTTCAGTTAAAATAAACAAATCTGGCGTTAAATTTTCAAAATTCAAAACGTCAAATATTCAATATAGTAGTAAAAAAAATCGATATTTAATATGGCAATTATTTTTATATTATATTTTTTCAAATATATAAAATAATAAATTCGATATGGCAATCAAAAAAATATAATAAAAATAACTGCCATATTAAATTCCGATTTTTCTTTAGCTGTCATATTGAATCTATCTTTGAATTTTGCATTTCATCCCGGACTCATATTGAGCGACTCCAGAAGTCTATATAGCCTATATTTTAGTGCAAATATATTCAATATCGTAAAATTTCAATATTTCTGACATACATATTGCCACATCCACTATTTTGAATCTTAGCTTTACCATAAAAAATTCACAGTACTACTAACAGGAAAATTCATAAAATATAAATCAGAAATAAACGATTGAAATTGATTAAATATTAGATAGTTCAGCGACCTTCTTGTTGAAAACAATGCCTTTCCTCCCACTGTAAAACTCTATCCAAGTAGATTTCCATGATTATCACAACGTGAGATAATCAGAAACTCTAAAATGTTTTTAATTATATTTATGGAGAAATAAACTATATTAAATCATATTAAACTATATTTAATTATAACATATTAAACATATTAAACTATATTTAATCATTAAATTTACATCAATAATAAAACACGATGATGAAAATTTTTTTGTTGTAGTGACAAATTTCCTAAAAGTTACACAGATTTTCATATAATATTTCGCATGGCATGATGTTTTGGGCAAATTTTAATCATTCCTTTTATATTTCTCTCTATTCCGTCGTTCTACAAAAATGAGTGAATTACTCGTTAAATTGACATCAATAATGAGACACGATGATGAAAATTTTGTGTTGCCGTGACAAATTTCCTAAAAGTTACACAGATTTTCATGTAACATCTCGCATGCATGTACTGAGAAAGTTTTGATCATTCCTTTCTCTCTATTCCGTCGTTCTACAAAAATGAGTGAATTACTCGTTAAATTGACATCAATAATGAGACACGATGATGAAAATTTTGTGTTGCCGTGACAAATTTCCTAAAAGTTACACAGATTTTCATGTAACATCTCGCATGCATGTACTGAGAAAGTTTTGATCATTCCTTTCTCTCTATTCCGTCGTTCTACAAAAATGAGTGAATTACTCGTTAAATTGACATCAATAATGAGACACGATGATGAAAATTTTGTGTTGCCGTGACAAATTTCCTAAAAGTTACACAGATTTTCATGTAACATCTCGCATGCGTGTACTGAGAAAATTTTGATCATTCCTTTCTCTCTATTCCGTCGTTCTACAACGTGAGTACGAATCACTCACAAGGGACGGAGCTTTACAAAGCGACTAATAAACTCGCTGCCAAATTTACGTACGCCAGTCCGTAGGAAGGACGGTCTCTCCGTGCGCGATCCGTCCGTTCGTGCGTGCGCTCGGACGGATCGTTTTTACACTCGCATTCTGGAGCGCAACGAAATTGTAAATCAATACTCGATAGCCCGATACTCGCGGATACGCCGTTCGGTCTCACGGCGTAACGTGACATCCGGCCAGTGCCTTTGCCAAAACCGATGGGCCGGCGATATCCGGTTGTCGAAAGGAAGAGCTCCTTCTGCTACACACGATCCGCCGTGCTTCGCTATTCCGTTTCTGCCCGTCTCGCTTTTTTTTTTCCTTCATTTTATTCGCGACACGAGCGCGAAGCGCGCGTCCATCGCGCCCAGCCGGGCTCGCCGAGAGCGCGGCTATTCGGCCCGACCGGAAGTGGACGGTAGCCGTCCGGCGTGAAAATCGGTTCTTCGCAAACTTAGTTTCCGTTCGTTGCGCCGTGCACCGCCGTCTTACCCTAACTATATCGCGCGAGTTAATTAAAGCTCCGTGGTATTGGCGGCGCGTTCGAAAGCGCCACACACCCATACACATACACGCGCGCGCCGAGGCGTTAACGAGATTCTAACTTTTGATTTCAGTGCGAGAAGTTACGTTGTCCGAACTCAGGGACTCGATAGCGAGGTTACGGGAGAGAGTGAAGCTAGTATGCAGGACGAGGGGCTCGCCTCCCCCGAGTGTACACTGGCTGAAGAACGGTGTACCGCTGCACCCCCGAAGAGGCCTCAGGATTCAGCACAAACGGTGAGCCAAACCGATTTTACCATTAACCGTGCGCGCGCGGCCCTTCTCCGTCTTGCCCTTCCTTCCCCTCCCCCGCGACCCGCCTTGGACGTCAGCTTTCGGCGACGGCACAAGCCGTAATAACACGTCGGGTCAAACTACTCGGACAACGAGCCGCGAGAGAGCAGCTAATTCTAGATATCCGCAACAGCGACGACTACGATGTCCTCGCAAATTCACGCAGTCAGTCCTCGACACCACGTCGTCTCGACTCGGCGAACGCTATCGATACGTACAGCCGGTTGCTCCGAGTCGAAATTTCGGCCCTATGTCAAACCTTGAATTCTACACTGAAAGAAAAGACTGGTAACTATAACAAACTGCATTTAGTTACAGAAATTCGTTGGATCCTTAGTAACTAATACTAAATATGATAATAATTGCCAAATATTTAATAGATTGGGAGTATGACATAATTGCATTCACAGTAACATCAATTAAATAATTTAGTAATAGTTATTTAATGTTAAATATTTAATATGAAATATATTACAGTTATGAACAGATATTTGATAATATCTGTTCATAACTGTTCATAACTTTGTTATGAAATTGTTATATCCCATGTAATAAAAAATTCAGTAGGTACGAGTTCTATTTTGTTACCAGTATAAGTATGTTTTAATGCAGCACAACAAAAAATTCATTCATTTGCAGCTATTACATCGTTTCAATATCTATTATTATAGATGGTTGGTTGAACCTACCAAAAAGTTTGTAACTACTACAAAATCGCTTATTTTGCTCAACTATTCAATAAGTTTTATTTACCAAATATATTTTGGAAGCAAATAAATTCTACTTCTGTCAAATAAATAATTTATTTTACAGAACTAAATTAATTAATAAGTATTGTCATAGCTTTGGCTATATTTACGTCTACCATTTAGTAATAGTAACCAAATTTTGATAATATTTACTAAATTCTTCTCTCAGTGTGATAACTATAACAAACTGCATTTAGTTACAGAAATTCGTTGGATCCTTAGTAACTAATATTAAATATGATAATAATTGCCAAATATTTAATAGATTGGGAGTATGACGTAATTGCATTCACAGTAATATCAATTAAATAATTTAGTAATAGTTATTTAATGTTAAATATTTAATATGAAATATATTACAGTTATGAACAGATATTTGATAATTGTTATGAAATTGTTATATCCCATGTAATAAAAAATTCAGTAGGTACGAGTTCTATTTTGTTACCAGTATAAAAAATTCATTCATTTGCAGCACTATTCTATTACATCGTTTCAATATCTATTATTATAGATGGTTGGTTGAACCTACCAAAAATTTTGTAACTACTATAAAATCGCTTATTTTGCTCAACTATTCAATAAGTTTTACTTACCAAATATATTCTGGAAGCAAATAAATTTTACTTCTGTCAAATAAATAATTTATTTTACAGAACTAAATTAATTAATAAGTATTGTCATAGCTTTGGCCCACTATAATTACGTCTACCATTTAGTAATAGTAACCAAATTTTGATAATATTTACTAAATTCTTCTCTCAGTGTACTCAGTGTACAGCAGCGATAAGGGCTAAATTAGCAAAGCAGATTTAATTCTAATTTACTACTTTGACTCCGATTAGGTTTTCCTTTTCACTTTCTTTAGTATCAAAATATGTATTGCATGGAACTATGTGTTGGATAGAATCAAAAGAAGTTAATGTGGTTTCAGAGTATCAAAATAGATATGGAATGGAAAGTGAAGCTGAAAGTACGATCAAAATTTAGATTTGGGATACGTCTCCGGCTAAAAATACCCGGGCAATCCTACTTTCAGCCTTACTATTCCATTCAAGATCTAATTAGTATTCTGAAATCTACATCAATTTCTTTTATTTGATCTACCCGAGTCAAAATTGTGGTCCTATTTTCAGTCTCACTATTCCATTCAACATCTATTTTGATATTCTGAAGTCTGTAATACAATCTATTTTGATGCTAAGAAAAAAAAAGGGAATGAAACTTATGCAAAATTGAGGGTTTGGGAACTATAATTTAAACAAGAAAATGTTACATATTCTTAGTATTTTGAGTCGTAGAATTCGAAAATGACCATGAAAATTAAGGCACTAATGGGGTGAACTTAGAAAATTAAGGAAAATAGCGGGGAAAGCTTGAAAAATTAAATTAAAACCTCGATAAAACCTGGAAAAAACCTCGATAACTTCGAGACGGATAACATAATGTGAATATAATTACAGCATTTTGAAAGAGTCTCAAGGACAGCTATATAAGAATATGTAATAAAAAATAAAGGCTCCTATTTAAAAAAATTCAATGCGACTTTTACCTGATCCTGACGACGTAATCGAAAGTTAAGCTGATAAAGAGAGTAAATAGACATTTTTGAGCCCTACAACTTTTGTCTCAAATATTTTTTCCTACAACTATATTTCTCGAGATATTTCGTCGAAACTTTTTGCATACCCTCTACATACGTACTTCCAGATAGTTAACTCGAGATTTTGCGACTCAAAATAACAAGAAAAAGTAACGCAAGGGTAAACAAATTACGTCTGGGAGTTTTTACGATTTCATGTTTTTTTCCATTTTTCTTAATTTCCCAAGTTTTCCCCGCTAGTGCCCTAATTTTCAAGGTCATTTTCGAATTCTACCACTCAAAATAAATAAGAATATACAACATTTTCTCGTTTTAATTACAGTTCCCAATTTTGCGTACCCTCCTTTCGAAGATCATCAGAGTTAAAGTATGAGTAAATTGTATCATTAGAATTAAACCTACCTTGTTAACTTAGCTCCTACTGCATTGTAGAATTCAAGGTTTAACATAAAGCCAAAATTTCGTCTCGGGTAGTTTACATTATTCGTATCAACGGTAGGGCGGATTCGCGCCGAACGAATCGATTGGGGATCCGTTTGGCTTCGTGACGTCGCGTCGTGCTTTCGGGATGCGCGTGTCTTTTTCGGACAGTAACGACATTATAACGTTATGCAACCGTGCACGGAAAAAGAAGATTGGTTGAATTAACATGACAATGATACTAAACATGTTTAGGTTGAAGGGAACAGAACTGATTCTTAAAAACCTAATTTCCATTAGAACCAGAATTCTGCTCCCTTCAATCAAATCGTTTGGTTGTGCCGCTGCCATGTTAATTCAAACTTTGAAAAAAGGTTTTCTTTCCTTTCTCATTGAAATCTGCCATAGTTAAAGATTATTTCATTTTAAAATGCCCGGATATTTTATTATAATCTCCATATCATTCCGTATCATAATTAATTTTTATATTACATTATTTCATTTATCATATATTATGCTGTTCTCTTCTTTTCTTTTATGTATATTTCTTCGTTAAGGGGATATCGGAGGGAGCGACGAATTTGATAAGCGTCAATAACGATTATCAAAAAGTAGAAAACGTTATCATCATTTACCGACGATATCGAATTTATTTCGATATCGAAAAATCCTCGCCATTCAAATTTGCGATCGATCTTAGAGTTTACTCTTCTTTCTTTTACTTTATGTGTGATTAATAATAATATATGAAGACAAACCGACCCCCCTCTTGGGATGGAGATTATCATAGTTATCGTTTAATTGTACAATTACAAGTGTAAGAAACTTGTAATTGTAATCACTATTTATTACAGGCCGATATTCATAGTCTGATCTTATATTTAAGATTATCTTAAGTACTGTTTTAAGATGTCATGAACCAATCACAGAGCCGTATTCGCATCTTAAGACATTATTTAAGACAGTCTTGAAATAAGATTCGACTATGAATACCGGCCGTAGATACTTATGGAATAAAGACGATCATCAAATAGGCGCTAACATGAAGCATCTCTCAATATGAGACAAAAACGATAAAGAACAGTTACTATCACGATATCGAATAATTCTGCAAAAACTACTTCTTTCTACCTGCGTTGAATTAAAGACTCTTTTGCATCATGAAAGTACGTGCGAAAATGAAACGAAGCATTCCACGTGATCCGGGAGACGATGCAGAGCGAAATAGTCAAACTTCACGTCATTTTCGAAAATACATCTTTGCGGGAGCGAAAATTACTTAAAAAAACTAAGATATTATCCCAGAATGTGCTCTAAATGCTAACACTATATGACCTAAATAACCTGCAGCGACATGATCGACTTTCGGCCAATGGGCGAGAATTCGACATTCCTACAACGCTAAGTTGAACCTAACATTATGAACGCGACTTTGGGCTATTGGAAAATTATTTTCAAGATTCTGGGCGTGTTATTGAGGGAATAAAGTGACATTAACACATATTGTCATTCAAGAGGCGATGCAGAGCAAATTAGGTACACTTTACGTTATTTTGAAAAACACGCCTCTGCAAACGCGAAAATTACATTAAAAACTGTAAAAAATTATCACAAAATATGCTCTAAACGCTAACACTATATGGCGCAAATAACCTGCAGTAACACGACCAACTTTCAATCAATAATACCCGATTAATTAATGGATGATGATATTAATATCTAATCGACAACCATATAATAATATCCGGTAATATCAATTAATTACACACGAGAGCAAAACGAAGTAAGAAAATCGTCGTAACGGCACGCTCGAGTTGCTTCCCAATACGCAATAAAAATAATTAAATAACAACAGAATAAAGAAGTAATAATACTCGAATAATAAATAGATGATGATACTATTTAATAATATTCAGCATTGAAGAACTCAATCGCGACGTTTCTCTATCTAACAAGTAAAGAAGTAGATGAAACGTGGTAATTACCTGTCGCGGTAAAGCCCGCAACATCTGCTCGCGTGAGGAGTACGCATCTTAATTTGTCTTAATTATCGCCTCAATTGTCGCGAAGTCAAATCGCGGTATTAAAAATCGACACGGAATAATCTAAAAAATAACGCGGCAGCTCCCGATGTGCTCGTCTCGACGGTTGAGAGTGTTGTGGCGTGACGC